GTATCTCATCCACTTTTATGTGGTTTGGTCTAAAGCTTTCTTAAAGCTTTGAATTAATATATTTGCTACGGTAGCATGATAAGATCAAATTGTTTTTTGAAATTTTGGGTTAATATGAGATTGTAAGAAGTCTTTTTCGAGAGTAATGGACATTTCTTGGAAGAGATTATAGTCCAATTAGTTTAAAATTTTGAATTTTAGGGTTTATCTCTATGTGCCTTGTATGTATTTGTGTCATACGAAAAAGATATAAAGTTTTAAGGAATACCTTGAGGTGCACGTAAAAGAGTTTCCATGATGGACTTTGGAAATTGCTTGTGTTCCAAGTATCTAATTGTATTTCTTTGCTTTATGTGTGATGTTTCTTCGAAAATTAGGTTTTACCTAGGAATTTTGTATTTGAAATTTTATAACTACGTGAGAGTCATGTAGTTTTCAAATTTTGTTTCAATACAATTTATTTTGGAGACGGTAGTAAAAAGTGAGAATGCTATTTCTATGAGGCTTTTGGAAGTCTAAGTTTGTTGAGCTTTGATGGACATAATATGTGTGCAATGTATACATGATTGAAATTCTAAATTATTCAATTAAAATTGGGTATTTCAGAAATTTGAGATTATGTGTATGAAATTCATTCCTAATTCAACCAGGAAAAGAAATTTTGTGCATGTGATTTATATGTGTGGATTCGAAATTCATTAGGGTTTACTAAAAGAATGAAGAATTTTATTTGTGTGTTAATCCTACTCACACGGATTAATAAATAAAATATTTGTGTGTGTGTGCCGCCTACATAATAAAAGGAAATTAGGATTTTCTAATATTATTTGGAAAGTGTTCTGTGTCTTTTTAGCCAAGTTAAAATATATGTGTTTTTCTTTCAAAAATTTAGTTTTCACAAAGGGGTAATTTTTCTTAAAAGTTATTTGTTTTTTTTTTGAAGTTCAATTAAAAAAGTTTTCAAAATTACTTGGACCGAAAAAATTTAAAATCTTATATAGACAATATTTTGTTTTTGTTTTTGGTTTGGATTTAAATTGATATTTAAGTTATATTTTGAGTGAAATTTTATAAAATTCTTTGGATCATTTTTAAAATAAAATAATATTATTATGCTTCATTACCAGATTATCTCCATCATCGCCGGACTGCCTCCCATCACTGTCGGCCGTCGTCAGACCACCGCCGGTTGCTGACCAGTTGGATTCTGGCCAAATTCTAGCAAAGTTGGCCAGAATCTGGCCGGCCGGCGAGGGCCAGTGACAGTCCGGTGGTGATGGAGGTGGTTCGGTGGTGGTGCATGAAAATTGTGTAAAAATAACATTTAAGATAAATTTTAAAATGTAAATTGAAAAGTTGTATAGATAGTATTCATATTAGGGAGAATTATTATAAGGGCGATAGAAAAGCTTAAATTATTAAAAGGGCAAAACGCACTTTTGGTCCCTTAACTTTGGGGGGTAGCGAGCTCGAGTCACCATGAATTTTCAATTGGTAAAAATAGTCCCCTAAAATATTTTTCACAAGAATTTTGGTCGATTTAACAAAAATTTTACAAACTTAATGGCAGAAGTCAAGTCTCCGTTAATTCCTGATTTTTTATATTTTTTTCTGAGTGTGGGCCCTACAAATTTTGACCAAAGAGAAAAAAAGATAAAGTAAAATGAAAAAGAAGGAAAAAAAAGGCTTTGTCTCTCATTATTTTGGCATGTCCTTTATTACTAGAGTGGAAAAATATTTGTATTGCTATTTTAATTACTAAAATAACGACTCTACCCTCCTCACTAAAAAAAATTCCTTATCGAAGTTCTCCGCTGCTCGTTCGCCTCCCCTCCCCGAGTTGTCTTCCCTTTCCGCCGCTGCCACTCCAGTAGCCACGTTTCCATAAACTCACAAGAAATTTGTTTTGTTTGGTTAATAAAGGCTCTCTTCTCTTTTCTAGATGAGTTGATTCCAAAGCGGAGTGGGTCTATTTTTCTTTCTTTCTTTTGTTAGGTCACATTGCATTTAGTTGGTGCTGTGATTATGAGATCATGGAGGGTGTTGAAGAAGAGGGTTTTAATGAATATGAGAGTGCTGCTGCTTATGCATTCAAGCCCAAAAAAAAAAAAAAATCAGGATTATTGGTGCAGCTATATAGAGATTATTACTAAGCTGCGATAGAGAAGTTAAGAAAAATCTGGCAGAAAGTTGCCTTCTGCAAAAGAAGCCCTCTAAAATTCAATTACATATGGAGGATGAAGTAGTCTTTTTATATTAAATTCACATTAAAAATACTTTTAATGCTAGTGGAAAAATCAACACCCTTAATAATAATTTTTGTTTTTCTAATGCTCTTAATGAAAATTTTCCCTTTATATTACATTGGGATTTTTTTTTGAGAGGCGATTAAATAAAATGGTGTTTTGAGAGGTTGGACGGTGTTATTAAAACATTTTTTCGAGGCGATTTTAAAACTCTCATTAAAAAAAACTTTTCTAATAGAATTTCAAGCGCATGACATTATTAAGAAGTTAACATTTCATTCAACAAAGAAATGGAAGAAAACTTTGCTATGTTAAGAACGGTTGGCAGTTCGGCCAAAGTGGTCTTCAAATAGATGAACATCATTGTTCCGTTTCCCCTAGGGCTATAAAACATCCTCCCATTAACTTGTTCACCGGCCTGTTTAATTCTCATTTAATAATATTGAACCTTGCTCATTCTTACCTTCTTTTCAGCGCTTATACTTCCTCTGACATCATGAGTTCTAACATGCAAGTTGGTGGTAGAAGTCATGAGGAGTTGAAAATGAGAGTTGACTACAAGAGCTAAAAATATGCAACTGAAAAAACAAACTTTCAAGGCAAATGACCACATTCACACAAACAACAATCCAACAAACTAAAGCTTTTTATTACTTACATGATCAACCTCATCAGTGAATTATCTTGTAAATGACCAAGAGTTCCAAGATTCAGACATAAGTACTGTTTGTTGTACTTTTTAGAGATCAATACCACCTACATGTAACATACACTCAACTTTAATCACGATAATGACTCTATAGTACATACCAAAATGCTTCAAATCTTCTATGAAGATATACTGTACAGTATCCATTTCTCCAATTCACATTGTTTTGAGATTATCTAAAACCAGTTGTTTATCGACGCCATCTTAACCTTTTTAAAAAACACACTTGGCAACAAATAGGTTCCACCCAAAGGCAAACCTAAAATCTAATCCTAAAAAGAATCCGAATCATGGATCTAAATCTGCCTTCATTCTGTTCAATTAAAGACTTAAATTTCTATTCATTTTTTTCAAAACAGAATCCAAGAACAACTGAATACTCTTGAATTGCTTCAGTGGATAATTGAGCTAGCTTCTTTATCACAACATTCAAATAATAGACGTGCAACTAACAAAATAATTGGAATAACTCCCAACTACCACCATAGCCACAACAACAAAACATTCTCAATTGTGAAATTTCAATTAAATAAAACCTCACTTTTGTAATTTAAGAACGTAAATTGCCCCCATGTGCTCTCTTTCTCCTCTTCATGGATCTATCTAGTTTCAGTCACCAACTCCCCCCTCCCCCATTTGCCTTGTCTACTCTTTCTTAATTCCTTAATACAATATTTTTATTTCGTAGTATCATTAGAAGAATATGTGTTGAAAGAAGGGGAAAATATAGCATAATTCTTCTTAAGCTGGTATATCATCCAACAGATTCCAAGCATCTACGAAGTCTGTGCACATGCCATTGGACCTAATAATTCAAACAGGATCATCGGTCTACCAAACCACATGACCTAATAATTCAACCAAAATAACCATTAAAACTACACAAAATGCAAATCTAAATTCATATAAATAAACACCTAGATATTGCTATATAAATAGCAGTGAACAATAGAGAGGCAATTCATCCTTGAAAATGCAAATTAGCGAATAAACTCAATTATGACAATTATGATATGATCCATTAGTGACTTACATTAGATTTTGTTTCTTCCATGCCGTTGTTCACTCTCCATACAGTTCACGGATTCCACCGTGTAAACAGAAGTACCATGTGGCCTACATCCGGCGATGACCGGAAAGAAGTGGAATCAGGAGGAAGAGTGGTCGGCCACAACAAAAGAAGCTGAATCGCTAAGGAACGACGAAAAGAAGTGACGATCAACAATCATGTTTTGAGAACTGTTCTTCAAAATAAAATTATGTGAAGTAGTTTGACTTAGGATGACAATGATTGAGGAGAGGAATTGAATGTTGGGAGCTGGAAGGCCTCAAACAGTGAACTCTGTTGATGTTATGTTGGGTGGATAGCTTTGATGACACGTGTAATAATGTTGACCGGTTAATGTACCTAAACAGGCTCAACCAACTTTTTGTAGCCTTTGTATGTGTAATGATATTTTCTACAATGATATTGATGGTTTATTTATTTTAGCATGAAATCTGATTTGTCATTTCTACTTTCTTGACATTTTTTCCAGTATAGGTTACTTTTTATTCAAGGTATTTAAATTTTTCAGTCCAAAAAAATGTTTCTTTTCTGCCTCCCTTTTGTTTCCTATTTTTTTTAACAATCTGTTTTTTTGTCAGTTGATAGAAAGCCTGTAGACTAATGAAAGATTCGATCTTTCTCAGTAATTTTGTTTGGCATGTAAATGGGCTTGAAAGTTTTCTTTTAACATAAAATCTCATTTGTCAATTCTACTTTCTTTGCTATTTTTAGTATATGTTACTTTGTCTACAATTTATTTCAGTTTTTTAGTTCAAAAAATGTTTTGTTTCCCTATCCCTTTTTTTTCTGATATCTTTTTTTTTTTTGGTACAATACTTTGTTTTTCACTAGGTAAAAAGCTAGTGGACTAATGAAAGATTTGATATCTCTCAGTAATTTTGTTTGGCATGTAAATGGGTGTAAAAGTTTATTTTAACATATAATCCCATTTGTCATTTCTACTTTGGTGGGTTTTTAGTGTATATTACTTTTTATTTTAGGTATTAAATAGAAAACACACATCTTCCACAACAGATTCATCATCACTTTCACTGAAACTCCATGGCTCTGGCTCTGAGGATGATGGAGAAAACATAGAAATCACTTTTGGTAAACCATCTTCCTCTTCAACACCCCGTAAAGCTTGAGTCCCTAGATTAAGTTCTCTCAAATACCGTGGGATGTTTATAGAGCGTGCTTCCTGTTCCTCATTCTTCAGTTCTGACCCATCTAGGATTAGACCTAACTAAATTTCAAAAAGACATATAAGATCACTTTATATATCTTAGAGATAAACTGATGCAATTCAAACATATTTATACATCCAAAAGGCAGTAGAAAAGTTAAACATTGTTGAGGTCAAATAAACAAACAAACTAATTCAGACACGAACTCAAACAAAAATATACCAAATAAATAGAAAAAGATAATATATATGGACATACAATGGACGTTGCCTCCAGTCCCTTCATCAAGTGGGGCAGTCTTCGACATGGCATCAAGGGACTCACGGTAAACCTCGACAAATGTTGATTTGGTCAGCTGGAGCCATGGATTTTCAGTGAAAGCGACAATGAAGTTGTCCTCGAAGATGTGAGTTCTCTGTTTTCTGAAGTATGAATGTTGTGATTGTCAAATACTCTTTCGTTTTGTGAAATATCAATGTTGTGATTCTGAGATAAAAAGATAATAAAACTTTTTTTTTTAGGTATTCAAGATTTTTAGTCCAAAAACTGTTTCTTTTCCTTTTTTTTTTTTCTGGTTATAATAGTTTGTTTGTCACTTGGCAAGCTAGTAGACTAATGAATGATTCGACCTACAATAGTCTATTTTAGACACTGTTTAGTTCCTGGTTTTGATAGGTTTTCTTTTTCTATTTCGTTACATTTCGTAAGAAATCATCATTGAAAGGGTTTTGACGGTTTTTCTTTATGGGTTATTATATGATATTTCATATCTTGGGTTTTGCAAGGTTCAAACTTCGATGTTTCTTTGGATGTATATTGTAAGTGTTCTTTGCTCTGTTCTTCTAATCCTTATGCGCAATATTTGCCATTTTTTTTTTATTTTCTTTAAGAACATTAAAATCTAAAGAAGGGAAGTAAATAAAATTGGACACTATATCGTGAATAACATCCAGTAAGAGCACTTGACAAAACGCTAAGTAGTTTGAGCAAACATTGACACAACGCTTTTGAATCATTTTCAGCTCATTATAGATTTACCACTAAATGTTTGTGCACACATAAATCTAACTCTTGCGTACGCTCTATCATATTCATTAGGAAAGGTTAAAAATGAACCAACAAAATACAAATACTGTGAGCTGTCAGGTTGCTACACAAAACTCAGACCAAATCTCAATCAACCTCGTCTTCAAATGCTGAGTCATCCGGATAAAGCAAGACTCTGAAGTTTCGATCCATCAAGTGATTTTTGATCTTGAATGGTGCATGCAAGACAAGACGAGTAGCGTCTCCAATAACTCCAACCTTGCAATAACCGCCAGTGTTGCGGTCCATCCTTGCTGCTTCACATACGGCTTCCACCACAGCATTAACTGCAAGAGTGCTACCCAATGTCGGGGTTCTGTTTGCCAAAAGAACACGCATAGCATCTCTTGAACCACTCCCCACTGTCCAAATATTCTCCCTATAAGAAAATTGTCAGCGCTCATTCACAAAGAAGATGTGGGCTTTACCCCTCACTAAAACCTCCTATGAGTAATTAGTTATGCGTCTTATTTTGACAATTATTAGCAAACCTTGTCCGCAGAAAAGATTCGACATCATGGTAATTAGTTAGACCCTTCGATAGCATTTCATCTCTTATCACTCTCCAGTGATCAATAATACCAGTAAACCCAATGATAAGTCTGTTGCTGTAAACAGCAAACTTACGAAAATTCTTGTGATCTATTCCTCCATCTCCTACATTACCCTCATCATCAGAACTAAGAGAGCCATCTACAACTCTCCTATCAGAAGCAAAAAGAATTAGTTCTCTCATGTAATTGTCCCTGTCCCTAAACTTCAATGCAAGCGTTGTGGTGTCACTTCAGAGAAGTTGTGCAATATTTGCCATTATAATTTTTTAAAGTAAGTAAAACATATGTTGCTTTGGTTTGATATGCGTTCATGATGTTGTCTCAAGAATATGTAGAATGGATTTCACTTTATTGTCATCTATATATTAAATTTGGGTTTTAATGTTTTTCCTTCTTATGATAATTTAGGCTAGAGATGTTAAGAGTTTAAATGTTACAAAGTTTAGGCTCAATCAAAGATACCTATTTCAGACATCACAACATACACTTCTCTGATTATATCTGTGATTTGTAGTTTTTTTTTTATGTTGAAAAAAGTAATTAATTCTGAGCAATGTAGATTATACGGTTTATATAATAATCATTCAAAAACAGTATATATAAGACTAAGGAAAGAAGGTCTTTCAGCTACTAAAATAAAAGTAAAGTAACAGTACTAATCCGGTTTCCGAGGATGTTGTTTCCCATTTCTTTCTCACCAACCAACATACCATTTCTATTCCAAACACAAATTTGTACCACCATGTCTAGGGTTTCCAAAAGACAAACCATTGTTTTTAGTCATGTGTTTGGCCAGAATCAAATCACTCACCCATCCAATTAAACAAGTCATCCAAAAGATATGACTAAAAATTGATTCACCATTGTGACTATCATACTTAATTGCATCTCTTTGATCCCTGGTAGAATCATTTCTCCTTTTTGCTAAAGGCTCATGTCACTGCCTTTCTAAACCAAAGACAATCTTTTTCTTTTTCAAACTCATAAATCTGTTCCATTAATTTTTGTTCCATTAATTTCTCAAACAAACAAAAGGCAAAACTAAACAAAAGGACACCATCCAAGCTACCTAAATTAGCTAACCACGATCCCTAAACAAAAACACTAATCACATTGATAAAAACACATCACCAATATCCCCTTATCACATTAAAAGCCCTGCGGCATATTTCCAACACCCCCGCAGCTCCCTAATAGTGGTAATAGGGATTATCGGCCCTCTCGACCATGGTAGAGAGGCAAGACGTGCAGCCTTTGCAAGGTCGTTGTTTGGCACGATGACGGAGAACACCCAGAGTGGCTCCTTGTGGCGCTGAGCAGCAGTTTTGTTGACCGCCTTGAGCTCCCAGAGTTCTAACCTTTGCCACTTAGAACACCGGGATGACGGCGTGCTCTTGGAGCACCCTTCTACTGTCCAAAAACTTGCCGTAGTTCATTGCAGCGTCCTGAAGAAGAATGGATGTGAAACGGTAGGTTTATGGAAAAACAATCTTGGGCTTGGGAGGCCCAGATGGCAGCATCATGTGAATGCCCTCAATGAGATCCCTATCCAACCTGGCAGTCCGATTCCTATGCTCGTGGTTGCGAGCATAGCAGTTGTGACCGTTGCCACCCTAAACCCACGACAATCTAATAAGCAGGGTACAAAGTATCCTTCAAAAGAGAAGGCTCCCTTTTGTACCAGTGACTCAGATCTTGCACAAATCTAGAAGTTAACGCCTCTTTCGAATCCAACGTCCAACTCGCTATACATAACTCTTCAACTTTTTTGATATACTCTCCAACATCAAGTTCACCTTGCTTAAGATTATATAACTCTAAATTACTTTTAGAAAAAATCTCATAGTCACCGAATCTAGCAATCACTTCACGCCTAAACTCATCTCAAGTATAGATACTATTCTTCCATAAACAAGTACAGCTACTAAATATGAATGAATACCAACTCTTAGCATAGCTACGAAGACCTCGAATTGCCAAAGAATTTGTCAACAATTTTTTATCAAAAGCACAGTAAATTAATTTTCCAAATCCCTAATCCAAGATTCAGCACTACGACCAATATCTCCTAGAAACAAGGAATTTTCAAGCTAACTTCATTAACTCACGCAAATTACTCAAAGTTTTCACTTACTCGGTAGGTGTAGTCACTCAAATTTTTAGCTAACCCTTAGACCGCCTTCGTCATCTCCTTACAGTCGTCAAGAAATTGTTCCATCACGTTCTCGTAGTTGACGTACCTATGCATATGTTCTTCCCCTATTGTACTCACCTCTTGCTCTATATCACGTAACTCTAGAGCACTTTCACAAAAATTACAACAAGACATCCTTACAAATGTTTCTTCGCTCATTGTTTGAGCAAATCAACACAAAACTCCAAGAAAAGTTGCGGAGCAAATTAACACCCTTTCGAATATTTCTCCACTCATTGTTTGAGCAAATCAACACAAAATCAACAAGACACCCTTTCAAATCAAGGTAAGATTTGATAATGACACCCCAAACAAAAGGAAAAAAAAAATTTCCCAACACTTTTTAAGAGGTATAACTCTCAAAGATTCAATGAAGAATAACCGAATAGATGAGAAATCTCGAATCTGTCTTTAAATCTTAAAGATTTAATCTCAAAGAACTCAAAGATTTTAAAGTTGAAGTGTAGGAAAAATTTCGACCAAAGCACCCCGTTATATAGGCACACAGTGGCTTTTCCTCTAAGAAATTTCCAAATATGAATTAGAAAAGAAATTCACTTTTAACTAACTTTGCTATTATAACCAAACTAGGTAATTCTTTTCACATAAAACCCTATTTATTTTTGCATAGAGAGACACATAGGACATTAAATTTCTCCATCCAAGTAATTTTGAAAATAAAAAATTCAATTTTATAGCTAAACTTCAAAAACAAGAAAAAACTTTTGAGGAAAATTGCCTCTTTTTTTTTTTTTTGGTAAATAAATTGCCTCTTTCTGAAAACTAAATTTTTGAAAAACACATATATATTTTAACTTGGCCAAAAAGACACAAAATACTTTCTAAATAATATTAGAAAACACTAATTTCCTTTTATTATTTAGGAGACACACACACACAAATATTTTATTAAGCAAAGTGTGAATACAAATAAATTTCTTCATTCTTTTTTAATAAACCCCGAATTTAAAATCCACACACATATATCGATCACATGCACAAAATCTCTCCCTTCTTTAAAAGTAGAAATTATATGACATATTGCTGGGAAAAGAAAATATTGAACATCGCATAATCACAATTTTTTATTTATTCAAAAAGAAACAAAGTCCAGAACCTTTAGCAACTACTAAAAACTTCTTTCAATTTCGTAATTGAATTTTCAAAAATTTAAATCATGCATACAAGCACACATATTTTGTCCATCAAAGCTCAAAGAACTAAGACTTCCAAAAACCACATAAAATAGCATTCTGATTTTGTACTACCATCTCCAAAATAAATTGGATCAAATACAAAATTCGAAAAACTACATGACTCTCATATATTAATAAAATTTCAAATTCAAAACTCCTAGGGAAAAACCTAATTTTTTTTTTCTAAAAAACGTTTTGATCTAACACACAAAAAGTAAAACAAATACAAATTAGATACTTGGAACAAAAACAATTCCCAAAGTCCATCATGGAAATTTTTATAGGTACAGACTCAAGCTAGAAAACTTAAAACTTCATATCATTTTCGTTTAACACATATAGGCACATAAGACACATATAGTGATGGAGGCATAAAATTAGGGATAGATTAGGGTTTTTTGAAGGGTATTTTAGTTATTTTCATTAGTTGAGACTAGGGTTTATTTTCTATTCATCCTTTTCTTATTTGAAGGCCGTAGCCGCCTCATTGTAAAATAGTTTTTAGTTTTAATCAATCAAAATTTGAGATTCTTCTCATACTAGTTTTTTCGTACTATTTTTTTGGAAGAAAAATTAAAAGTTCCAAACTTCGGTGCTCCATTTGTTGGATATAGGCCGATAGTTCAGAGTTCCGAGTTCCGGTGCTCCATTTATTGGATAAAAGCCGTTGACTTGGAAGCCATCGATTCTCTGTACCACTTGTTGGAGGAGAATTGGTGAAGTCTCGATCTCTCTAGACCATTTGTTGGAGGAGAGTAGTGAATCATTGTCAATTGATAGGCTGTGCTGCATCAGTTGGCATCAGAGACACCTTCGTTCATGGATACCCTTGTTTTGGTTTCTATTCAGTTTATTACTTTTCTGGTTACCAACTTGATTGGGTTTTAATAATTTGTCCACAATTATTGGGATTATGTTTTGGGATTTATTATTATGGCCGAGTGTACGGGTTACAGTTTGATTTTTGATTTATTTCGGTGGACAAAAGTGGTATTAATCTTTGTGAAATTTTCTTGCTGTTTGGTTGGCTGGAAACTTAAGGTTTTTTTAAGAGTGATTCTGTCTGGTCGTGGGTGAAATTTGGAAAGACCACTTAAGTGGTTCTGGACATGGTAATTGGTGTCCATTTGATTTGAAGAGTGATCCATTATTCTAATTTGGATCTCCCTTGCTCCTAAGTTTGGTGTAGAAAGGGTTTTAGAAATAAATTTCCAAGGTTTTCTTTTTTCCTTGTGATTAGGAAAACCTGGTGATATTGACCACTTAGATCAACTTGTTTCGGAGCTGTAGTGTTAATTGATTTTATTTGTGGAGTAGTCACTGTTCTTTAATTTGGCCTTGATTTAATTACTCACGGCTTTGCTTCATGATTGATGATGCCTACTCAACAATGTCAACCTGAGGTCATGGAATACCATGAAGAGATTTTTTCCCTTGAATTAAGTTATGATCCGTGGGAAAATGTTGACCCTGATTGGAGTTACCACCACAGTTTGATGTTTATCCGGATGATGTTGTGGGCAACCATACAGTTGATTGTTTTGGTTATTGTCAAAATCATGAGGTTGAACGATTGTGCATTCAACATTCCTTGCGACATCACAGTTTGCAAACTTTTGAGCAGCCAGTGAATAAGCTCGCGCCCTCTCCAGTTGGTGTGCAAGGAGCTCATGGATATTTTGAATTTGAGAATCGTATATTCTTCTTATGTTGCTTGTCCTTTTCTCTTCATTTGTTAATTACAGACCAGCAAGATTTACACGGATTCAGCGGGCCACTCACAATTGGGATT